ATCTTAAACCATTCAGACATCACACATACCTCTTATAAACTCAGCATGGTTCAACCCAAGTTGGAATGAAGCCACCTGCATCCAGGTCTCCCACCCATCCCTGACGGAAGGAGAGGAAGAACAGGAGACGTTTCCCTACGCTTTCCATCTGAACAGAAGCTGAAAAGGAAGCAGTCTAGCGCTGACAAGACAACCTCTCCCCCGTGGAGGTTCATTGTCAAGAAATGTCACAGCAGCCACCAAAAAAATAAATAAAAGTAGATAAAAGAGGGAAGCAGTTTTCCTCCCACTGGTTCCTTAGCGGGAACCTCGTATACAAGACAATTTCAATGCAACTCAGCTAGAGGCGCCAGGAGAGGCCAACGTCCTGGCATTAACTGACGTGGACTTCAAAGGAATTATACTCGTATCATCAGCAATGCAGAGCCTGGATTTCTTATACCAGCCACTTAATCAAGCTCGATGCAATTCTACCTTTGATCAAAACACTTTTAAGGTTGCCCAGGCAAGGGTAGAAAACAACGTTCAAGTAGCCCACATCGCCCACCGGTCTATTATTAACATCCCATCCCTGATCCTGCCAGCGCGGTTCAACTTCAACTTGGAATTTATGGAAGGAAACCGGAAGAAGAAGAAGGTACCATACATTTTCCATGGGGAACATTGACCTGGTTGGATGAGTGACGGTGTTTCAGGCATCCAGATATATTTCATTTATTCCTTTATCAGATGCACGGTGGATAAAAATCGATGTTTTTTTTTTTAATTAAGACAATCGGATTTAAAAAATAAATCAGATATTTTAAAATTTTTAAATTGAATTTTTTTTAAAATTTTGCTCAAATTTATTTTAATAAAAAGCTTTTGGAATAAAAATCTATCTAAAGGTAATTTTCTATTTAAAATACATTAATAATGTAGATTATTCGGCATGAAATGGAGCTTAGTTATGTAGAAGGAGGAAGCTGTCTATTCTGCAATATTTTGGCAAATCCATTCAACAAATCCACTGCAAGCTGAGATCGCATGTGCTGCATTCATGCATTCACACCATTTCACAGCAGAGATGACAGGTGCTCTTTAAAAACTTTGATTTAAATCGAGTTGACTTAAATCAAGCCCTTTTTACTAGTGATTGAAGTCATTATTTAAATCACCTTGATTTAAATCAAGCCTTTTTACTAGTGATTTACGGTAAATCATGATTTAAATTGCCTTGATTTAAATCAAATCCACCCTGATTGGGTGGGATACCAGCTTTTCATTTGATGCGAATGCTGCGGGCGAGGCTTCACCTGAACCAGGCCCAAATCCAGACCTCCTGATTCCTGGTGATCACAAACACACCTGGGAAATCTATGACTCCAAAGAAGCTAGATTGGTGCAGTGCTTCAAGGCACCAGACGAGAGACTGAAATTCTAGTTTGGCGCCTTGGACGTCAAGTCCAGTGGATGATTTGGGGCCAACTGCACCTTATCAGAAGGGAAAGACAAGCCACTTCCAAATATTTTTTCCCCCAGGAAAACTGTTGGATAATTGTTCACCAAAAGTCAAAGAGTTATCCAAAGGCACCAGACGGGACAAAGCAGCATACAAAGGAAAATAACACTAGCACTTAGACTTATATACCACTTCACGGTGCTTTTCTAAGCAGCTTACAGCAGTTTACAATGCTCTTCTAGCACTGATGATGTTATCTAGTTTGGTAATGAAATGTCTGCAAGAAAACAATCAAGTTCAGACAATACCAAGGACTCCACAGTCATTGTCATTGTGCTCCTGCTCCTCCTCCTCTCCACACACCCCTCTCTCTTCTAGCACTGATGATGCTACCTAGTTTGGTAATGAAACATCTGCAAGAAAACCACCAAGCTCAGGGAGCAGCAAGGTCCCCTCGTTTCAATCCTCAGCTAAAAAATATTCTCCTTTTGAGACATCACCCGTCCATTACAGTCTTCCAATCCCTTCCAATCCCATTTAAGAGCAATCTTAGACAGCGAAAAACCTGTCCAGCTCTTCAACAAGGGATGCCTTCGTTGAATCTCAGATGAATTCAAGCAGATATCTAAGGTTCTCAAATTCTGTGTGAACTTTCCCACAAGATTTTGAGTAGGAGGAATTGGGATCGTATTGCTATTGTGATGGTACTAGTAGAACACAGCCTGGATGAATTTGAAGTTAAGGAAATCCACCGTTATGAACGATGAAAAGTATTAAGCCTTTTGCTTTGGTCAAAAGATGTGCATCAATAAATTCCCTCTGTGGGTCTCTGCTAAAGCCTAGCCTGCAACCTTCCCTTTTGATAAATCTTATTTTAAAAAAATATAATAATCTGGTTTCGCCATTAGCAACCTGCAGCCCCAATGCACCTGAGATACAGCTTCAATCCATCAACCATTTATCTGGGTTTAAACAAATTCAAAAGAAAGAGAAAGTCAATCAGTCACAAAAGCTCTACAGATTGCTCCCCGGGATCTGAGAAAAATAATTCGTTTCTCCATTTCCTGAAAATTTGAATGGCAACAGGTTATTGATTCTGTGCTCTGCTTGGAGAATTTGCAAGTAGAAGCAAATAGCGATAGAGCAAAGATAGTAGAAACAAAGGTAGATAGTCAGACAGACAGACAGACAGACAGACAGATAGTATTTGTAGCTCAGGGCTGAAATGGGAAGGGGTCCTTGGTGCTCTCTGAGCTTGGTGGTTTTCTGGCAGATGTTTCATTGACCAACGAAGTAACATCATCAGGGCTAGAAATGCAAATGCCACACCCTTCTGGCACTGATGATGTTACCTCGTTGGGCAATGAAATGTGTACAAGAAAACAACCAAGCCCAGAGAGTTTGGTGATGTTACTTACTTGGGTAACTTTCCGACCAGCAAACTCAATGGGTGTGTGTGTGTGTGTGTGGCAGAGTCAGATTCACTTAAGGAGCAAGTTACTAATTTAACAGCTGCAATGATTCCCTTAACAAAGTCGGAACTTGGGGCTTAACAAACTTGCTCAACAAATGTGTCACTTAACAGCAGAAAATTGGGGCTCCGTTGTGGTCGAACGTCGAGGAGTTCCCTGCGTTGCAATGCACAACGGTCTCTGCAGTAATATTGCCAAGTGTGACAGGTTCACAGGCACCAGCCTGCTGCATGTGAACCTGTCACAGGCTGAAGAGGGAAACAGCCAGCAGATCAAAGAGTTTCTCTGCCACAAACTTACTGATCAGTTGATGCTAAACACACACACACCCATCCCGTTTCTCAGATTCTGTAGCTTAACCTCCCCGCCCCACCGCCTTCCATAAATCGGCAAGACCCCTGTGAGAATCCAGCCCTTCTGACTTCCAACCTTAATACCGGCAGTCCTCGACTTACAACCGTAGTAAAACTTAAGCCAAACATTTCTGTTGTTAAGCGAGACTTTTTTTAAACTGAGTTTTTGTCTCCATTTCTTGTTGCGGTTGTTGTGAAAAGTCTGTTAGAGATTCTCAGTCATCCAGTCACGGTCATCCCAAAGGGGCTTTTTCAAGAGGCAACTGGACTTTGTTGTTCTTTCTTTTGAAGATGTTTCACTGCTCATCCAAGAAGCTTCTTCAGTTCTGACAGGATGGTGGAGAATGGAAGGATTTATATTCCTTGCAGACAGCTGATCGTTTGCATCCTTTAGAGGACACAGATAAACCTTCAAGTGGCCTCAACGGCCCTCGCAAAGGATGTCTGCAAGGAGTATAATCCCTCCCTCGTAAGTGTGAAAAAGGGGGCCATAAGTCACATTATCCGGTGCTGTGGAGACTTTGAAGGGTCATTAAGTGAACTGTTGTAAATCGAGGATTGCCTGCATTTCCCAAAACCAACCTCATCCCTGTTTTCTCCTCATCCTTCAGTTCCTCTACTCATTTACACACCAACACCAAGTTGATTTTTGGCATGGAAAAATAAAAGCGCTCGGTTTAATGCACAACCACTTCCATAGGAGCCAGCCGTGTGCAGCCGCTGCCAGAAAAGCCAACGCAGTTCTAGGCTGCATCATCAGAGGGAGAGAATCAAGATCACGTGAAGTGTTCATGCCCCTTTATAAGGCCTTGGGGAGGCCACACTTGGAGTATTGTGTCCAGTTTGGGTCGCCAGGATGTAAAAAAGACGCTGAGACTCTAGAAAAGAGTGCAGAGAAGAGCCACGAAGAGGATTAGGGGACCGGAGGCTAAAACATAGGAAGAACGGTTGCTGAATTTTCATCAAATATGTCTACTTTAATGAAAAAAAGAGGACCTGGGGTGACATGATAGCAGTCTCCCAATATTTGAGGGCCGCCCCAAAGAAGAGAGCTATTTCCCAAAGCCCCTGAGGGAAGAAGGACAAGAAGCAACGGGCGGAAACTGATCCAGGAGAGAAGCAACCCAGAACTAAGGAGGAATTTCCAGACTGTGAGAACAATTAATCAGTGGAACAACTTGACTCCAGAGGTTGTAAATGCTCCGACACTGGAAGTTTTTAAGAAGATGTTGGATAACCATTTGTCTGAAGTGGTGTAAGGTTTCCTCCCTAGGCAGGGGGTTGGACTAGAAGACCTCCAAGGTCCCTTCCAACTTTGTTATTGTATTTTAATGAAAGCTAGGGTTTCCCCCTGCTCATTACGATTTCCTCGTACAAAGCCATCATGTCGTGTTCAAGGGTGTGTTAATTAAAAAAATAACCATCCTTTTTTCTCTTGAGGAAGCCACACCAACTCACCCTTAGTGCCCCCCTCCCCATCAACAAATGCCAAAGTATTCCTTTCGACATTCTCTGTGACAATCGTAAAGCGGAGCTATCTAAACAGAGCTTGTAGCTTTGCTGTAACCATCTAATCCCTTCCCATCCTTCTTTTGAGGCCCATAAATGCCAAAGCAAAGGAGCGCTTGCTAAATTCAAATTCAGGAATGAGAGAGAGAGAGAGAGAGAGAGAGCAGCGAAAGAGAGAGGGGTAGGTGGAGGAAGAGAGGGAGGGAGAGAAAAAAATAGACTTACCCCGTAAGCACAACCACAAAATCCATCACGTTCCAGCCGTTGCGGAGATAAGATCCTTTGTGAAAAACAAAACCCAGCGCAATAATCTTTATGCCCGCTTCAAAGCAGAATATTCCAATGAAATACGGTTCGGTGTCATCCTGGGAAGGAGAAAGGATAGGACACCGGTGTTACCAGTCTATAGATTGGCAGGAAAAGGGGTGGAATGGAAGAGAAGAGAAGAGAAGAGAAGAGAAGAGAAGAGAAGAGAAGAGA